TATCTCTTCGGTGCGTTTTTTGTCTCCTCTGTTATCGATATGATTCCCCTTATATCTAGGGTCCAGAAAGCTGGACTTTGCCAAAAGTTCTTGTAAGGCAGCTTGTTTGTACTTCTCCTCGAGAACACTACACATCTTTTGCGTAATGTCAGATGTCAAGGCGGTATCCTCCTCTAAAAATTCGAAACATCCCCAGTCAGGAGTTTCAGGACGGTTTTGACTGATGACACGGTAACATAGCTCTTGCCAGACAGCAGATCCGTAAACTCAGCCGCAGGTTTCAATGCTGCAGTCACAGACTCAAGGACAGCGATGTCCTGCCAGCTTGGACTTAGATGCTGGTGTCGCCTGTCATCCAAAACTCTTTTGATAGCTGGGATTTGCTCCAAGACGCTGTCCACCATTTTCTGCCCATTTGGTGCCCCATCTTGTAGTGCAGTCCTGGACATAATTAAATTAGGACTGAATTTAGCAATTTAAAATAGAGTTTAGCTATGGGCCTATTAGCCAGTGTGAACTCTATCTCTATAATACATTTAGTAGTCTAGCGTGAATAACTTACCAGTATGAGGCCGTGCTGGGGGATTTTGAGCTTCACTTGTGCTTTTGCCAGATCTCTTCTGTTCAGCCAGCTCTGAGAGAACGTACTGGCCAAAGAGTGGCACAGGCCAACTGCTCTGGCTGTGCGGTCCTTAATGCTAGCCATTGCCTTTGTCACTGCCAAATGTAAATTGGGACCAAAGCAGTTCAGCCACGGCCAGTTCAACTTGTTCACTGCTGCTACAATGTTGCCCCATTGTCAGTAGTGATACAGGCCAACTTCTTTTCATCCGGGGACCACTCATCAAATGCGTGGCGGAGGGCATCTGAAATATTCTCAGATGTGTGGTTCTGTGACATAAAGGCAACGTGATTTAAGAGCCCATTCTGTGGTCAGATAATGCACTGTTAGACTCATATAAGGAGTCATATTGACACGTGACCACATATCAGTTGTGGCAGAAAAGTAGTCTATATTCTTGATCTTGCTTTGAACCAGTTCCTTTACTGTGTTGTACATTTTCGGGACAGCAGTCTCTGAGAAGTAAGTTTTGCCGGGCAACTCGTACTGCTTATCGAATTTTAAAAGCATTGACTTGAACGCAGGTTTTTCCACCGTGCTAAATGGAACCATCTCCTCCACCAGATATTGCACAACAGCTGATGTAAGGCATTTGTGCCTGTTACTTTCACAGTTGTGTTTGGTAACTCGTGCAAAGGCTCCAGCCACTCCTATCTCTCGGCTTGAATCGGCCTGACCTGTCCCTTTTGCGGCTGTTCCGTGACTTGATGCTGAAGGATGCAATTGTGCTTTGATAGCTGGATGATAAACAGCTAGGGGAGACCTCAAATTCAATGTGTTTTCTCGTTTTAACAGGGACTTATTTGGCGCAGATTTTACAAATGGCCTCATCTAAATTGTCTGGCTCTCCATTTTCATTTGGTTGGAAGCCAAATATTCCCAAACTGGCAAAGTTACATTTGGTTTTGATACCAGAGCAGCAGCCATTGTGTCTATAAAGGAGACTGAAACTCATCTGTGCTGGATGCGAACAGAGTGGGCGGGGAAAAATAGCCTACACACAATTTATCAGTAGGCCTAAAATTGCAGTAGTTGCGGATGCTTCCCTTCCCTTGCGGTTGGCTTGTCAATAGCGTGGTATTACAAAATTGCGGTTACAGCGACATCCCTAGTTGTATGCACATATCCCTCCTTTCCATCAGAAAAGCCAACTGTCTGCTTTTTCACAGCCTAGCCGGGAAACCTATTAAGCCATTCATATGGTTGCACTGATTGAAGTGCACAGTTGAGGTCAGGACAGTTTCAAATGCTGTTGTGGACAAGATCAGATGCAGTACATGCCCGCCAAAATACTGCATAAAAAGGTGCCAGATTTGCTATGCAGTACTTGCACTATGTGTTAGAAAATACTGGGGTGTATCTGTAACGTCAATCAGCATAGCATTTGTTCAAGCACTCCAGGGGAGATGAGCTCATGGCGTCGTGTCACTCTGGATAGAGCCGTGAATGAAGTCGGTGTTGTGACACCTTTCTCGTGCGTAGTAGAAGTATACCCTGTGGGGAAAAAATATTTTTAAACCTTATTTTGGGGCAAAGTCTTCAAACGTCTTCAGCTATTTTTTGTCATATTTTACTGGTGATACTATACATGCAGTTTTTATGTCCCATTGAAAGTGCAGTTATGGTTCTCTCCCTATTCATATAGATTGGGGCCTGATCTTGTTAGTAACTGCCAGGAGGTGTTACCAAGATGGCTTCCGAGTGGCGGGACTTACCAATATGGGACTTTGTTATTATCTGAAATCTGACTATGCTTATGAAGGTTATGATGTTAATTTGGTTAAGATGATCAGACTAAAGCATTTACGTAACAGTGTGTAGTAGGAGTAGAGTTTAATCAGTATATTAAGTGTTTGTCCTGTCCTCTTTCCTAAATCTGTCTTTCTTGCTTTTACATTTGTCCCTTTTTTTGCATTTATTCTCACTGTCTGGCTGCCATCAATAGTTAATGAGTCAATGGTCTTAAGAGAATCTGTGGAATTCTGTGAAGGAAGAATGAGAAATAATTAAACTTTTTTGTATTTATTTAATCTTCTAATTAAGTAGTCTTAATAGATCCAATGACTATTTGCTAACTAAGAGCTTCTTTAGTCAGTGACATTGTTACAAGAATTGCCCTGATTGCATCAAGTGAATCAAGTGTATCATATAATAGTAGAGGCCAACCGATATGAGATTTTTAAGTCCGATGCCAATTTCGATATTTGAGGATTTTAAAATCCGATATGCCGATATTCTTTTTCCCCCTTGTTTTAAGAAACACATAAAATAAACAAAGATTATCCCTATTATTTGTTATGTTGAGACCTCACCAAGATACCATGACATAATGCAGTATAAAAAGAAACTTTTTTTATTGTTATAAATAGTATTTTGAACAAAAGTACAACAATATATGTTAAAGTTTTGATAAATGTATAAAACTATAGATAACATTTTACAAATATCTGATTTGTTATAAATTATAGAGTACTATTACTAATGAACATTAAATTAAATTGTGTATGTATTGTGGGGGCCAGCTTTTTAATAGTCATATATCGGCTGTTATAAACGCTGATGCAGATATATCTTCACACTGAAAAGTTTGTGAAAGATGACCACTTTTGAGGTAAACAATATTGGTTTGTTTTTTTCTGTCCGTCTCTCTGTCCATCAAAAGCTCCAACACAGCTGGTTGTAGTTTGATAAATGACTCATGTCTGCGCCGCTTTCTAGCAGTTTAAAAAATTACCCTCACTGGCACAAGGAGGGCCACAACAATTACAGGTCAAGACATGTTGACATATCTTTCCCTCACTGGCCTAAATCAAGAGAGAGCCTCATCTGTTGGGCGATGACATGTTAACTGTTTGATTGTTCCTGCACTGAACCAAATTTGAGTTGCCAAGGACTGCTTTCCAAAACTGCTTACTAGCTGGGATTGTGTTTGTCACCAGGCAACATTAGCGCAGTAAACAATTTAGAGAATTATTATAAGCAGATATTTAGAGGAAACTGTTGCCACTTTAGTGTTTCCTGAAGATTTATTCAAATTCCTGTCATCTTTTTGCAAAACAAATTTTTCCACTTCTCCTGCAGATTTCTTTGGCTTTGATTAGCACAACTCTCATTCATATTTACTTTCCCAGTCGCCTTGCACATTTATGTAATGATTTGATTATAATAAAAGCGCTAGATATCAAACAACACTTAAGCCTCATTGTGTATCATGTTGGCCACATATTTATAATTCCAAGCCAAGACATGTTTGTCTGTATAGCACATTTCAAATACAGAGGACATTTAAAGTGCTTTACATAATAAAAGAAATAAAATCAACTGAAGTGGAACCTTAACAATAGTATGTTTTATAAACTTTACATAGAGGTTTGATTTAGTTAACTTCTTAAACTGAGTTGACACAGCTAAGAACTTGGGAACTGGGTTTGTAGCATGTCAAAAGTATATTTTCACCCAAGGGCCGTTAATGCAATTCATTAACTATCAGCAGCAGTCTATTCACTAATCGGCAGCCAGTATAAAGATTTAAGTGCAGTGCCGTGCTCACTTCTCCTGGTTATTGTCAGAAGTCTGAAGGCATGAATATGTTTCTTGTCTGGACATGAATCCTCTAATTCTTACTCTTTGTTTTAGAGGATAAAAGGCTGGTTTAGTTATTGCCTCAATGTGGCTGCCGAAGCTCAGATACAATAAAAAATAGTAAAGCCAGCTCTATCTTTGGGCAGGTGGTGACACCCCTGGAAAATCACACCTGAAAGCTCCTCTGATAAACAGGCTCCGGTCACACAGTGCTCAAATGCACGAGCGCAAACATACAACAAATGCTGTCACTGTTGGAGGATGCTGAGAGGAAAAGTATGTCGCGCTGTGATCTCACTACCCACACATGCCCATCCTGTTTGGGATAGCGACTTTCTTGTATTCTCTGTGTGCGCAAGTGTGTTTATGCAACTGTGTGAGAGGGAAAACAAGAGAGAGTGCGTGCCAGACACAGAAACTCGTCTCAGGCAGCAGATCTCTCTACGATAATCAGCTGGATTGTCTTGCACGCACAACATCTGTCTCAAACGCACACAAACTGCCTCTTTCACACACACAAACACAACCATTATATAGTCATTACAGTCAGGCTGATGCTGTACAGCCCTCTCTAACATGCTCTCTCAAATCTTATCCATCTCCTTCCTTCCTTTCTTCCTTTCTTCCTTTCTTTCTTTCTTTTTCTTTCTTTCTTTCTTTCTTTCTTTCTTTCTTTCTTTCTTTCTTTCTTTCTTTCTTTCTTTCTTTCTTTCTTTCTTTCTTTCTTTCTTTCTTTCTTTCTTTCTTTCCTTGCCTTGCCTTGCCTTGCTCCTCTCTTCTCTCTGCCTCCATCCAGACGGTTTCGATCTTGGAGCAGCGACTGACGCTGACAGAGGACAAGCTCAAAGAGTGTTTGGAGAACCAGATGGAGATCGGCCTACATCTCCAGAGACAAGAGGAGGCCGAAAAGACGGCGGCATCAGAGAGAGGTTGAGCTGCGGTGTGAAAGGAAATGGGATCACATCAACACCATAAACAGAAGCACATGTACAGTAACTCCCCTTGTCGTCGTAAGATCACACTTATAATATCTAATGTTATGCACAGTGACACATTTGCATGTTAAGCAAAGACTTACTGCTGATGTACTGTGTCTGTTTTTTAAGAGATATCAGAATTGAAGGAGTTGAATAGAGAAGTTGCTTCTCTACAACATTGCTGAGAGCGCAGTCCCTTTTCTGCTGACGAAGGACCTGCTGTGTGTGTGTGTGTGTGTGTGTGTGTGTGTGCGCGTGTGTGTGTAGACACATAGACACATGCAAGAGACCTTCGCACTTTCCTATGCACTGCACATGGGGACATTTTTAACTCTATTTGTGTGTGCAGGCATCAGTAAAGTGCTCGTTTACAACCAAAAAGCACATAGTAAACTGTGCACACAAACAAAATGCACAGGGTATTGTCATCAATCTAGTCATTCATCAATCATTTTAGTTGTACGATGTACAGTAACTTCATCATTTTTAAATTGGAGAAAGAGGCTCATTGAAAAAGTAATTTTAAAAACTGTAGTAAACATTTACTGCTGAGCATGTAAAATAACATCAGTGTTATACTTTAAGTTAGAATGATGATGTTATTTGCCTTGGTTTGGATTGTCTACCCTGCGAGTTCCTGACGGCTGATTGTAGTTACTACAGTTTAAAAGAGAAGTGTCTCGTTCCATCCCTTTATATCTTTTGTCTGAAACTTTTATACACTGAAAGTAACTTATTGTGTACCTTCTTAATAAATTTTTTCACTCTTATCTCTGACTCTGAAATTAGTTGATAAAACTATTCCGGTTGCTCTTTGACAGCACTAAGCTCTGTTTGTTTATCAGATGAGAGAGTTTGTTTTCATAAGCCGAATCGATGATGTCACCAGTGACTTTTAAGAGATTGTTTCCCGCTCTGATTGGTCCACAGAGCCCGAGCAGTTACCCGAGAAATCATTACTTTTCTGACTTTATTGTCCTCAGCAGGGATGTAAAGCTCATGAGCTGTCAGCTGTGGCATCCATCGCTAGAGGTGTTACATTTTGAACTTTCATTGCCAGATTATAAGCAGTGATTTATTACAAATGCATAGGGGTGGCAGCTAAATACGCTTGCCCTGCTTGTGTCCAAAATCCTTATGTTTCACCCCTGAGTAATTTACGTAACCTGACCATTGATGCTGGATCAGTACTTTTTATTTTTAGAAGCTTCAGTGAAAGCAAGCCTGAAGCCATGCTTAGCTTTGCTTCTCGAGGAACACATTCATCGGAGCCATAAAAGAACTATTCATTCATTTGACTTTTTTATTTAACAAACTGGTAATATGTTTACATACCAAAGTAATGAATCATACTGAGTCCTATTGTGGAGGTCGCTCTCAGAGAACAGTGTGGCGTCATTAGGAGGTGAAAATATTAATGACTGTTTCTTTAAGACCCGGCTCAGGCTCTGCAGTGATGGAAAAAGAAGAAAAACAAAACCGGAATTCTGGAGCTGTGCTGCCGGGCCCACTCTCTTCCTTCCTGTCTGGGGCCTGAGGACACGCACACACACAGACGCACAGGCACTCGTGCCAGAGAAAACCGTTCCCTGTACTATGGGCCTCAACCAGACGGCCTGCCAGGAGCTCTAGTGGAGGAGAGGAGGGGCTGAAAGAGTGGGTTCAGTAACTGGAAGTCTTGACTGTGTGTGTGTGTGTGTGTGTGTGTGCGCACGCACGCTCATGTAAGTTTTTCTTTGTGTTGACCAAGTTTAGTTTGAAACCTTGAGTGAAAAAAAAATTAGGACATTTTTGCAGGCCCTCACTTTAGGTCAGACATTTAAAGGGTTGTTTGAGAAATTAAGATTTGATTAAGATTTAGGTTCAGCAAAGATTAGTCAATCAGCAAAAATCTAACTTGATAATTGATCAATCAGTAAAGTAATCTTTTAAGTAAAATCACCAACCATTTCTTTGGGTTTTTTTTTTGGCATTTTAGAGGCCACACTATCATTAATGCAGTCCTAGTTCAGTTTTATTTAGTTTAGGGGGAGGATGAGGCCAGTTCGTTAACGCAGCAGGGTGCCTATGGCAAAAAAATTTGAACCCTCTACATGGCCAACAAAATATGTGCATGCACACATTCCTGGTTAATTGCTTTGCAACGTGAACACTATTTCTACAGCTTACCTGTCGATCGTTGTGATTGTTGTGTTGAGAGATAGAATGATTGCCTGTGGTAGCTTTCCAGAGCTACAACTGTCTCTGTGTATTATAAGCCTCTATGCAGGGTTTTGGCATGGCAAGTCAAAGGAAGTCCTCACAAGTATAGCTATACGTGTGTGTGTGTGTGTGTGTGTGTGTGTGTGTGTGTGTGTGTGTGCGCGCACAAGAGAAAGAAAGGGGAGAAAAGAAAAGTTGGAGAGCAAGCCTCTGTAATATGTAGCCCATGTGTGGCCCACAAGTGTGTGTGTGAGTGTAGGAGGGGGTTGGTGATCCTATGAGGGGAACATCTGGATATGTTTTTCCTGGTGTGCTGTGGTTGCTGCCGCTGCTTGCCTGAGTGTGTGTCAGTGTGTGTTTTACTAGTTCAGTGTGTCAGGTTTTTGTACTCTCCTACTCCTCTTGGCTTTTCGTTTCCTCGAACATTGTGTCAAATTCTGACAGATTTGTGAGATTAAAATGGTACCCGTGTCATGTTGCAGCAGGTGGATGCTGCACTGTGACATAGTTTCACTTTAGCAGTGGGATGAAAAAATAGTTTTTCCCAAAACATCTCTTGCCAGTGTGTATTCTTAAAACTGCGAAGTTGTACTAGTCTGTGTTATAATTTGTCTTTGGTGACCGTCACTGAGATGATCGTTGTAACATTGTGGTGAAACTGGACGTTTTTTAGAAATGAGAAATAAAAATAAGAGGCGGTCTAAGGAAACAAAATACACTGAACAGTTTTGAGGGACCACAGTAGAAAAACATAGAATCACCATGGACAAGAGTTTCCACTGAGTCACAGCAAAGCAGGTGCACTCTAAGTTTTTACAAGCCCAAAGAGATGTTCATAAACACAGACAGAGCCATTTACAAAATAATTGAAACACCTAATGTTAAAAATAGCTACAAATTTTACTCCAAATGTCAGGTTGTCAGCAGTTAAAGACCTCGCGATCGGCAGATGTGTGGGTTTTCAAACCAACATGAGCTAACAAATAAAGCCGTGTCGAATCATGTAAATCAGACCATGACAACATGCTGTATGTAGGTGACAAATACTAGTCACTTTGCTAATTATGTTCCACTTTTGAAGCATTTCTTCTTTTTCTTAAAATCTGGGTATAGTGCAGTGTTAAACAGCGGAGGCAAGACACCAAGCCGGAAGTTTAATAAAACTGAATAATAATTCAGCATATGGTTCATATGGTTTCCTCTCCGAGCAGTAGCCCGGAGGTTAGAGGTTACTATTAGGCTATTTTCCACCAGACAAGATACATCAAGATCTGGTTGGCTTTTACCACCTCTACTAAAAACAAAACCTGGGGGAAAGCCTAATAAAGTGTTTACATTATTTTGTCTACCACCTGTATGTAAGTAATGAATGTTAAAGTTGGATATGATCACCTACAGTTGAACAAATAGATGTGTGTGTAGAAAAAATACAATAAAACAGTGTCGTATTTACAGGTGTGGAAGGTGTCTTTATGTTAGTTTTGTCATGTTTAAAAGAGGAGAAACTTGTTTGAGCCTCAGTCGTCTTTGACCACTGCTGGATTTGGCAAAACTCCCCAATGCCTCATTTCCTGCTTCACCCCTCCTCCCCCCTTTGTCCCCCTCATCGCCTCCTACTCCTTCCCCCTCTGAGACTGAGCTGTGCTTGTCGGCAGTGGCTGAGGTTTGGCGCTTTGCTACTCCAACCCACGCCTCAGCCTCTGCGCCAAAACTTTTCCATTGGATCCCAATGGGAGTGAATGAACGGAGGGAGTGAGGTTTCTTTTCTTTTTTTTCTGACAAACTATCCTGTTACGGCTGTCTAAAAAAGGAGCTGCAGTTCAGCGAAAAACCTATTTCTGCTGCTCTCTTATCATCTGTCTATCAATGAATTCATTTCAGTGGACAAAAACTTAACTTTGGTCACATCTAAAAAACTTCTATTATTCATATTTCCTAAATATATAGTATATATATAGCACCAATTTCAGCGCTGAGAAAAATAAATCCTTACAGTTGAAAATGAAACTTAAGTGTCTGTTGTGTAACCTAAATGCTGCAAGGTCAGCTCTAAATCACACATGACCTGTGGTGCCACTGCTCAGGTAACACAAATAAAGCCAGCTTACACACATCTCCAGGTGTGTAAATGTGTGCTGAGAGTTTAAAATTGATTACCTACTTTACGGGCGGGCCAACCCATAAAACAAACTTGGTGATAACCCGGAGGAACTCCCGCCCCCTTCTCGGAGCCTCGCCTTGTCTCAAAATCACCTGCCTCACTAAAGGTTGACTGTTCTGACACACCCCTGATTTAAGACAGCCCTTCAACAGAAATGTATCTAAAAGAAAGAAACCACGTTTTTTAAGTGTTATTACATTTCCCTGCGTTATAACATGTCCCAGTTGCCGTATAAAAACTGTGAAACTCGGAAAACTTTTGTATCTGCTAATTGTGTTCAGCATTGTGACACTTAGTTCACTGTAATTATGTTTACTGTGTTTGAAAGTATAATAAGAGTTTGTTATTTAAAGCCTGCTGTGTTACGTTTATTTCAGGCTAACGGCTTGTGTCAGGTTATCATGACAGAGATCTCTAGAGCAGTAACAACTTTGCACTGAAAGTCAGTACAGCAGAAACGCTGAGTTTGGTTAGTCAATCCACAGAAAATGAACAGGCAGCTGCTTTGATAATCAGTTAATCACTGAAATAATTTAGCAAGCAAGTACTGTATACCAAACATTCATTCCAGCTTTTCAAGTGTGAGGTTCTGTTTTCTCTTATGTGAAAGTAAATTAAATATTTTGGAGATTTAGGGCATTGGTTGGGCAAAACAAGCACTTGAAAGATGTTATATTGGACTCTTGGTTTTGTTTATTTGTATTTTCTGACATTTTATGGACCAAACCGTAGAGAGAATAATCACCAGATTAATTGATAGTGAAAATAACATCTAAATCTTGGCATTCAAATCTTTTTATTGCAGTAGTCCCTTGTACATATGTTTTATCTTGCTGGATTAAAGTTGCGTTGATGTGCTTTGCATCAACTCCTGCTCATCTGCATCAAGCTGAAACGGAGAGAAGGAAAGTGAAAGTCTTCATGAGATAGAACAGATCATTACAGTGTTTAGCCGCCTTTGACCATCTGTCTTTATGGCCCTGCCTCTCAGCTGCCATAGTAATATAATGGGGTGAGGCTGAAGGCGTGTGTGTGTAAGAGAGAGAGGTGAGTACTGAGTTAAGACAACAATGATTCACCTCTGTGCTTTTACAATCCTGCCTACGTAGGTACAATGTGTTTGCACAGTAGGTTGATTAGATACAGTAGGCAGGGTGACGATTACAGGTGATTTAAAAAAAGATTTAAATGTTCAAATAAAGAGTCATACCTAATTAATGTGGCCTTTGTCATGTTGGTTCAGTGATTTATTAAATACTCGCTCAAGCTGGGAACAAAACCAGTACAATCTGTTTAGTGGCTCTGCTCCAAACTGAGAGAGCAGCAGAATGGTTTTGAAGGAAGGTTGGTGACTCAGGGTGGATTTCTACTGTTGACTCTTGTGTCTACCTACTCCATTAAAGTTGG